CTTCACAAAGGAGGTAAGATTAAAATGGGCTCCTTAAGTTTGAAAAGATTTGCATAGGTGAGAAGAGGGGTATAAAGGAAAATAAAAATCTCAGCACCCTCTCCCCCCAACTCCTTATGCAAAAGATACGTAAAGGCCTCAGGCTCTTAGAAAGGACTGGCCCCAAGAACCATTGATTAAGGAAGTCCCCGCTGGCCTCCCACAAGTAAAGAAATGCAAACTGTAACCTTAGGTCAGCAGGCTACTTCTAGCTCCTAAAACTAAAGTCTGTTCTGATTCTACACTAAATGTATTACAAGTTTATGTTCACAAGTGCGGGACAGAGATAAGATAGGATCAGACATTCTCCACCTACCCAGGGATATCTACATTATTGATGCTTCTTTCACTCCTCTTTTCTCTTTTAACATTTGCCTTATCTTATGTAAAATGTAGATTGGGGAAAAACGGCCACAGGTTTTCCTGCCACTTTTTCCAACAAGCCTTCCAGAAGCACCAACTCAAAGTAAGTATTGCTCCCCAACATTTTCCACTTTTCTTTAAAATACCTTTTTAAAACCTTATATTACAATTGTTCCTCTGATAACCTATATACCCCTTACAGCAAACATACTTAATTTATTTTTGTACTCCCCCACCTTCTTTTCACAAGTAAAGATCTTGATAAATAACAATATGGCAACAGCATAGTGTATGGCTAAGAACATAGACCTTGAAGACAGACTGAGTTCAAATCTTAACTCTGCTGTTTATTAGCTATATGACCTTGGACAGGTTACTTAACCTCTCTGTGCTTCAGTTTTTTACGTATATAAAATGGAGATAACAGTAGATATTTCTAGGGTTGTCAAATTTAGCTTAAAACAGTGTAAACACCATAAAAGTATCTATTAAATACATAAAATTACTCTTTAGAGTGGAAAAATACAGAATATTCTATGATAGCTGTGTAAAGCTTTATGATCTATATAAGGAAAAGCAAGATGTCAAAAGCAAAGCCAGTGTTTAAGTATGAGCAGCCATATACAAATTTTTTTCTAAATCTTCTTATGTATGCCCTAAGGATTAGCTGTGCCCTTTATAGTCTTCCTGATATTAACAATGGTTCTGTTTTAGTTTGACATTTCAATATTCTGAGAAAATCTTTAGTTCAGCTTCCTGAACAGCCACCTAATTGGTCTCCTTGCCTTTAATCTACCTTCCACAAGTCTCAGCCTAGTTTTTCTAAAATGTAAATCTAATGTTTTTCCACTGCTGCAAACCTCCTCCATTCCAACTTCCTTAGGATAAAGTTTATTTTATTTATTTATTTATTTTTTGAGACAAGAGTTTCACTCTGTTGCCAGGGCTAGAGTGCCATGGTGTCAGCCTAGCTCACAGCAACCTCAAACTCCTGGGCTCAAGCCATCCTGCCTCAGCCTCCTGAGCAGCTGGGACTACAGGCGAGCACTACCACGCCCAGCTAATTTTTTCTACTTTTAGTAGAGATGGGGTCTTGTACTTGTGCAGACTGGTCTTGAACTACTGATCTCAAGCAATCCTCCCCTCCTGCCTCGGCCTCCCAGAGTGCCAGGATTACAGGCATGAGCCACCTCGCCTGGCCAGGATAAAGTTTAAACCCCTTAGCATTTCATATAAAATTTTCTTAATCTGGCCTCAGCCTAGTCTCCAGCTTCATTTTGCACCACTTCTCTACTCTCCATGAAACCTAAATCACCTGCCACAGCTCAAAGGCTTTTTGTATGTCATTCCTTTTGCCTAGAATACCTGCTTGTAAGTTTACCAAGGCTTCCATACAAAATAACGCAGACTGTGTGGCTTAAACAACAGAATTTTATTTTCTCACGATTTTGGAGGCTAGAAGTCCAAGATGAAGGTGTTAGCAGGTTTGGTTTCTTCTGGGCCTTTCTACTTGGCCTCTTTGATATATCCTCACGTGGTCTTTCCTCTGCGTGTGCCTCTCTGGTGACTCCTTTTGCGTCCAAATTTCCTCTTCTTACAAGGACACCTGTCAGACTGGATTAGGGCCCACCCTAATGGCCTCAACTTAATCACCCCCAAAGTCCTATCTCTAAATACAGTCACATTTTGAGTTTATGGGAGTTAGGACTTCAACATAAGAATTTGGGGAAGGCACAATTCAGCCCATAACAACTCTTTTCCCTTTTCTCTGCCAAGGCTAATTCCCATTTGTTTTTCCAAGACTGGCCCAAGCCTTTCCACTCCAGGCTGATCTCAGTGTCCTTTCTCTGTGCTCCCACAGTACTTCTACACTGCTCTGTGCATGCTGCTATCCCATTGCTCAACATACTATCATAATTGTCCCCTTTCCTCTTCAGACTGTATTCCTTAGAGCAAAGACTATATCCCTAGCACTAGCATACAGTGTTTGGCCCATAAAAGGTATTTAATAAAGATTTGATTATTGAGAGGAAGTGAAGGAAAGAACATAGACCTTGAAGTAAGGTAAGCAGGATTCAAATCCTGGCTCCACCATTTACTTATCTTGTGACTGGGCACTAAATGCTGAACTTTCATTCTAAATAAAGCAGTCATAAAGATAAATGACTTAATTATAATAAAAGCCCCCAGTTGTAGGGTTGGTACACAGCAGGTGCTCAATAAATGTTAAAGGTTCTGATCTTGCCTGGTTTGATATCTGGTTCTACCACTTAGTAGCTAAATGACCTTGAGTATGTTTACTATCCTCTCTTTGCTTTAATTGCCTATCTATAAAAACACCTCATAGTGCTATTGTGAGGATAAGTTAACATAGGTAAAACATTTAGATGAGTACCTAGAACACAGTATTATATAAATGTTTTCTATTATAAGAAAAGAGCAGGTGTGAACAGATATGACTTAAACCATGAATAATATAGTTCCTTTAATTACTAAGTCATTTAAATGTAACTATTACCTTAATACCCCAGATTTCTTACCAACTAAACAGGATGGTAACTAAAGAGGTTCAAAAACTAGTACAGATGATGTAATCAGTGCTCAAAATAAACATGAATAATATATTATCATCTGTCTCATTCCTTATATTGGTGTTTCACATATTTTGGGCGCTGAAATAAAATTTTTAAGAAACAAGTTTTTCTACTTTGTGAATATAGATGTTAACCATTTGCAGTATAGAATAACCCTCATTGGCTCATATTTTCAACTGCAGACTCACAAAACCTGTGAACTGGAAAAGACCCTTGTGATGAAAGTCCAATCCTATCACTTCTTACAAAATAAACTGAGATGGATTTGGAATGGGCTTATAAGGTCTTACTGAGCAGCTTTGTGAGGGATGGGAACAGTAGACAGAACAACTTGTTCAAGAGCACTAAACCAGGGGTTCAGGACTTATTCTATATGCCCAAAGTGTGTTGGAACCAGTCTTCACAAGTAACACTTGGCAAAGCCTTTTATACCATTAGACCCTTAACATCTGTAATTTCTGAAGCAAGTATGTTACCTGACCTGTAACTCTGAAGCAAGGCAGCTCTAGATTTAAATTCCCACTTGTTACATAAGCCTCAGGTTAGTGCAACAGGTTTGCTAAAGTGATTAAGTGAGCTAACATATATAGAGCTGGAATGCCTAGCAGATTGCAAGTATTCAAATGTTGGTTCTTTCTGACCTCTTCCATTATAAGAATAAAAGTCTGTAAGATAACAAAACACTGTCTTTCACATAGTATGTACTTGCTGACTTACTGGACATCACTTGATTTTAAAAATAGGAAGCTGGAATAACTGTTGCGATGATAAAATATCTGCATCCCTGCCCTTTCTCACCACCAGAAGTCCTTCACAATTTGTTTTGAAGTGTCACATCACCACCATTAACATGCTATTTAGAGATCACTGTAGCTCAGACTTTCAATTCAACAGCAAAGATTTGGGTCTGGGAAAAATGAAATAGACCAAGAACTGGAAGAATTCACTTCATTTTGTTTCTATGGTCCATTCCAGCTTGATGAATTTCCGGTAAAAAGTTACTTTTTTTTTTCCGGTGCAGAAACAGCAGATCTAAGTAAATGGTGCATGAGCAAATGAATTCCCCCCTATTATTATGACCGAGAAAATGTTTAAATTGTTTGGGAGGTTATTTTTATGCTGGTACTATAAAGGATATCTGCCAATATCCATTATTCACGCTTCAAACTAAAGTCAACCGTTTTTCTTTTGAAAGATATGTGGTGTCTGGCTCAAAATCAATTCCGAGGAAAGCCCAACTCGATTCAACACAGAAAGAGCTCTCTCCTCCCGGTTACATCACAGATGGCGACCGAGGCTTAAGGATTAATGCCCAGACACTAAAGCCACTCATCCTAGAAGATGGGGCTCCAGATGGATGCTGTCCCGCAGAGGATGAGAGGCTGCCAATCCTCGGAGGTACAGTTAGGGTGAATCCCGAGGTCAGAGCCCAGCGTCCATCACTTTGCACCCACACTTGGGAAACCCACTTCTCACAACGGGGCGGGGATCCAGCCCTCCAGTACTCAGCCTCCGGCTCTGTTGTCTGCGCGTGACCTCCGAGAATCGGAAGAGCGCGGGGCGAGAAGCCTCCTCCGCCTACAGGGGAAGTTGGCAAGGGCAAGTTCGAGTCGTGCGCGGAGGGTCACTCACCGGAATGGCCCGCCGTCCTCCGCTGTCCGTCCGCGCTCCCTTGGAGAGATGCCTCTAGAGCGGCAGCAGCCTGAAAGCGGCGGCTGAGAGCAGCAGCCGAAGCTGCCGCCGCTGCCAGTAACCGCCCGGGCGTGGCAGAGACAGACAGCCGACTTCACAACATCATCATTTGGCGACCTCAGTTCTGCAGTGACGCCGGGTCAATGGCAGCCCCCGCGAAGCTGGGGAAGCTCGAAAGAAACCCACTCTCCCGACAGCCTTCACGGCCCCAGCGCACAACCTGCCGGGACTTGTGGTTTTCGGACCGCCCCGCCCCCAAGCTCGAAGGCCCCGCCTTCTCACTGTCCAGCCCAGGGGCGGGGCCGCAGCGACCCGGTCCGGGTGGGGCGAATGTTGTCCTAGCGGGTGTCCTGGGTCTGGGGCCGAAGTCCAAGGGGATAGTCCGGGTCCTGGCAGCACCGCCCTCTTGCGTCCCGCGCTGAGAGCGGGCCTAGAGCGCTCGCTTCGCCCCTCCTCGAGCCGGGCTCCAGGATTCCCCGGCTCCGATCCCCGCCCCGGCCCCGCACTGCTGGCACCCTGAAGAGAGTCGCTGGCCGTGGTGGCCGCTGGGGTAATGAGGGGAGGCAGGCCGGGGTGGGGAAGGTTTGGGGGCCCGAGGGGGACGGGAGGGAGTGCAGCTCGGTCGGCGCACGCCCGAGTAAGCCTGAGGCCGGAGCTGGCCGCCCCAGCTCGAGCCGGAGCTGGCGGAGCCGTGGCCGCAGGGCGTTCGGCGTGGCGACTGGCGCAGCTCGGGCTCATCGGGGAGCCCGGCCGCCGGTCTTCAGCCCGCGCGGTGGCGCCTGCTGGGTTGGCCGCCAGGTGCTTGGGGCCCGAGCCGCCCGTGGTGCCCTGTCCCAGCGGCTCTCACCTTTGGCGGAGCCCGTGGGCCTGGCGCGTTTCCAAACAGAAGGCACCCTTTGGCCCCGGCTCTATCTACCACCTTCTGCGGGTTCGCTACAAAGTCGCTTCAAAGCAAGACTAGAAAGAACTTCTTACAAAATTAAATGCTCAAGAGCCGTTTTGTCCTCAGTATTAAGTTCATCGTTGTGTTTTCTCCTCGTGGATTTGTTGGGTCAAGTACTCTTCTCAAAACTTGATCAGGATTTGTGACACAGCGCCTGCCCAACACAGTGCCTGACACATAAGCGCTCAATAAATATTTATCGAAAGCTTGAGCCACAATACTAAGTTTGGAAAATTCTATCGAGCTGTGCGTCGCTATGATCTTTATTAAGATTTTACGGGTTCCCAAGATCACTTTGAAAATTACAGTAATTTTAAAGTTGAACGGAGACTTGAATCGGTATTTTTTTTTTTTTTTTTGCATTCCTTGTAACAGTGGCCTCTGTTGGATGCCTCACACAAAACCCGCGTTCTGTAAGTAGATGCGCCCTTTGGTTTCCACAGAAAGTGTTAATCTTTCAGATTAAAGCCTTCGAATGAACCATTCTATTATGGAACAAATTAAAATTATTTATAAAGCTTTATCATAATTAGCTTTTTGGATACAAGTGCAAGGGACTACACTGATGTACTTGTGAATATACTTAAAAATATGTCTCAAGTATGATTTTTTTAAAAAGGATTTATATTTATATGTAGTGAAATAGCATGCAGTGGAAAATTAGCATCAAATCCCCCACCCCCATACCCTTGGAAGGTGCAGCTGCTGCCTTGACCTCAAAATGTCTTGTAAAATTATCTCTTAACAGGTTGGTGTATCTAAGGCAAAAACCTCTGGGATTAAACTACTCCATTGGGACAATTCTTTTAATACTAACAATTCTCACAGATTGTGTCAGCTTCTTCTGAGCTTTTCTGAAAAATAGATAATATAATGGAGTTTCAAACTGTTTTGTTGTTCAAGAGGACAAAATCGGTAACAACTTGCTGATTTTAATAATTCTACTTTTTTCACTTTTGTATGCTGCTGAAAAAAGCAGGACACAAAATCATGATAACCAGAAAATTCAGTTAATCATGACATCCCTAACTTTTCTAATTGTGGGAAAGTCAGCTACAAGTGGTCAGGACCTTGTCTGCCTTGATTATCAATGTGTGTCCCCAGTACCCAGTAGCTGGTAGCTGTTCATTAAACACTTGTGGAATGAATACTTGGCTGTGACAGATAACAGGGTGATGACTTTCTGTGTGTGTATAGTTTCTTCATGTATTTGTCTCCTTAGAAGACATTACTAGAAGTGGGAATTTTACTGGGTCAGGAGGTATGAATATTTTCATGGTTATTGAAACATTGCCAACTTGCTTTTCAAATGAGCCTTACCATTTTACACTGCCATCGGTATATTTGAATATACCTTTCAGAGAATCCACTCAAGCTTTTATATTGATACAGTGCTTGGCAGTTATGAGCACTTTCAGATGTATCTCATTTGATGTCCATCACCTTGTAAGGTAGGCAGGGTAGGCATTGCTTCCCCCTTTTATAGCACAGCAAACTCCAGGGCCTTAAATTGATGGTCATGAAGGCAGGTGACAACATAATTATAACTTTTCAGTTTCTTCCTCCCATTCTCTACCTTTGGTTCATGTGAACATCCTGAATAAATTCATTTCTTTTCTTAGCAGTAAAATTGGATACTGCTCTATAGTATTTATGGTTTACAAAATCTTCTTTTTCTCATTTTGCTCAGATATTTGTAGATGCCTTCATCAAATTGGGGAACATCATTAAAATGAAATATGAAGCACAATTTAGATGAAAGAGATATTGGCTAGATGTAAGGGAATACCCTGCATTAGCAAACAGTACATTGCCACCCTTTCTCTTAGTAAAGATCTGGAAACCTTTGATGGTGCTTTTATATTCCTTGAATCTGAAGAAGTTACCATTAATATTTTAAACCTCTGTTGCAGAATCTCACAAACTATTCAGATCAATACTCTTAGTGAAAGTGGACAGGAATTATTTGCTTTATAATCTGCATATCTTTGATATCAACAAATTTCAAGAATAGAATTAAGAACTAAAATCATAAGGTAAAAAAATTTTAACCTACAAAAATGTTATTTTCACATGAAAACTAAAAAAAATTCTCTTTTTTTCTAAACATATGGCAATAAGAACACATTAATTTCTAGTGTATTACTAATCCTGATTCTTTCCCATATTTGCTGGTCAGGGATCCCAAATGACTTAATAGGTGATGGTAATGACTTAATAGGTGAGGGTAATGACTTAATCCAATAAGAAAGCTTTAGAATTCCTCACAGTTTACTTATAAGTAGAACCATTGGAAATTCTTGGTGTTTATTTGTAAGTGACACCATTTGTATCAAAAGGAGTTTAAATTTGCTTTTCCATATTGCTTTTACATTCCTCAGGTTTTTTGTTTTGTTTTTTTTTTAAAAAAAAAAACAATAGAAAAGATAGGGAAGATGTAAGTATATTGAGGCTTTGGAAATATTCAGAACCTCCCTTCATTTTCACTCTGCTTTTCTGTTGTGATGTCAGATCCCAAATAGTGTTCAGTAAAAAGAAATGCTCTTTAAAGACACTTTTTAGGAATATCTCTAATCCTTGTGTCAAGGAATAGCTGCCCAAATATCAGGTGGGTTTATGGCAACTAGTTCTTCAAGGAACTTTTATGTGAATCTGAATTATTTTGCTTTTGTTTTTCATAGGAGGGTATTTCTGCATCTTGAAGGTAAAACAAAAATATTCTTTGGAATAGATGGATTTTTGTCACTTTCTGTGAACTAAAGCGATTCAATGTCTCTTTTGGTAAGTTTTCATTAACATAGATCTGATTTGGGGCCATCATAGTAGTTAGACGTTAATGTAGAGCCATAACAAAAGGCATATTCTGGCTGGCCATGGTCACTCAGGCCTGTAGTTCCAGCTATTTGGGAGGGTGAGGTAGAATGATCGCTTGAGGCCAGGAGTTTGAGACCAGCTTGGTGAGACATCACCAAATTAAAAAAATATGTATTTTTAAATTTTAAAAAAATTTAAAAAAAACTCTGAGATGATGTTTTGACCTGCATAACTTCTGGTTTTTAGAAATGAATTAAATTATCATTGAGTTTTTGTCTCTTTCAAAAAGAACTTTTATACTACCTTAATATGTTCATTATTCCAATCCTTTGTCCCATACCCACTTTTTCTCATTCATATGTTGTACTTAGATATGGCTCTCCCATCCAGTTAGTTATGTTTTATTCTTTAAATCTTTCAAAAATCTCTTTTATAAATTCCCATCTAACTAAAGGCAAGCAAAATAGTATTAAAAATTAGTCCTTTGACTTAACAGACAAAAAACATTTGGTTCAATGTATAATACAAGGTATAGATGCCAGCTGGTTTTCTATTTATATTAGATCCATGATATCTACTTTAGATTAATTAGCTTGAGGACTTCCATTCTCTCTTATATACAATATAATATTTGAATAGGGAATTTTTATATTGACAGTGATCTTTTAAAAAGCCATGAGTATATTTGTATGATGATTTGTAGTTTATAGATACTTTCATATATTTCTTTCATTCTTTAAAATTGTGAGCAATTGGCAGGACAGGTGATATCATGCTCATTTTGAGTTGGCCCAAGATTGCAAAGAATTTGAACCAGGTCTCAGACTTATATCTGCCGAACTACTCCATCTGTTGCCAAGCCTGAGAGGCAGAACTGTGAAGCTAGAAGACTGTAATGTTAGTTATATGGAAAATATATCACACATTACTTTAAAGTAAAGCTTTACTACTTAAAAAGGAAGCTTTACATATCTGGAAAATACATTGAGATGGAGTACCTCCTCTAAAGCAGGGATCAGCAACTTTCTGTAGAGGCCATAGTACTTGTGTGCCATATGATCTCTGTTACAACTACTCTTCTGCTGTTGTAATGTGAAAGTGGCCATAGGCAATATGTAAAGGAATGAAAATATTCCAGTAAAACTTTATTCACAAAAATGGGGTAGGTCAGATTTGCTTCAAAGGATTAAGATTTACAATTTTATATCAATTTGTAAATTGGAGAAGATACAAAAGGGCATTTAGTGTAGTCCTCTCATTTGATAGAAGAGGATTCTGAGATTCAGGGGGCTGTGTGGTTGCCTAGGGCTTCCAAATTTTGGAAAAAGAGTATCTTAATCTATTATTCCATAACTATGGATTTTGTGAAAAATGTGATATAATGTGGAATAATGAGTAATTTATATTAGTTCACTTTGTTAATTTTAACTTTAAATTATTAATACATTTTATCTGCAGTGATGAAATATTTTAGAACCTTTTGACTCAAAATATTCACTTTTTTTTCCTAAATGAGAAATTTGTACAACTGAGATACAGTTGATGTTTTTACTTATGGAGGATTTCCTCCCCATTCAAGTTTTACCCTTGATTTGAGAACTAAGAAATGGTCTTTCCAAAGGAGCAGCGTATGTAAAATATTTTCTTTTAGATTCTTTATAAGTTCCAACTGCTTTTTATTATACTTCACTATTATGATAATGGATAAAGAAATTATATTCAAAAATATTTTGAGGGAGCTTTCTTCTGGATAATATAAAATCATTGTGCTGCCTGAAAGAGATTAATGTATAGATTCTTAATGAGCTATAATATTCACCAGCATCTGATTGATACAGTGTGGATGTAAAAATGATTTGAAGGGTAAGATATTGTTATTTAGTGATTTTATAACCTGGGCAGCTAATGAATATGCTAACATTTTTTAGGAGGGGAGAGCAAAAATATTGTGCCTTGTAATATGGGATGGTTTTGCCTGTCTTCATATCTAATAGTGATTACTGTCTTGGGCTATGAAAATTTTATGTAAAGATGAGATAGAAGTCTACCATATTTTATAAAGTATATAAAATATCTATTTTTTAAATATATAAAATATAGAAATGTTTTCTATATTTTCATAAACTGACAACACAGATCACAACTCTTATTTTGAAAATAAATTGGGATCAATTTAAATTTTTTAAAAATGTCCAATATGTCTTAAATTAACTTCTCGTTTATTAATGTCAAAAAAAGTGACAGGCATTTTTTAGAGAGAATGAATATTTTAATATGCTTCAATATATTTTGATGTTTGTGTCAGGGTTCTCCCAAACCAACCCCAGGTTTGATGATTTGCCAGGGGCGCAAATATTCATATCAAAGAACTTAGCATATGCTCATACTCACAGCTAAGATTTATTAGCAAAAGGATACAAAACAAAATCAGCAAAGGGAAAAGGCATGTGGGACAAAGTTCAGAGGAAACCAGACTCAAGCTTTCAAGTATCTTCTCTCAGGCTGGGTTTGGTGGCTCATGCCTGTAATCCTAGCATTCTAGGAAGCCAAGGCAGAAGGATCACTTGAGCTCAGGAGTTCAAGACCAGCCTGAGCAAGAGCGAGACCCAGTCTCTACTAAAAATAGAAAAATTAGCCGGGTGTTGTGGTGCACGCCTGTAGTTCCAGCTACTGGGGAGGCTGAGGCCGGAGGATTACTGGAGCCTAGGAGTTGAAGATTGCAGTGAGCTATGATATGATGCCACTTCACTCTAGCCCAGGTGACAGAGCAAGACTGTGTCAAAAAAAAAAAAAGACTCTTCTCTCAATGGAGTCACATAGGATGAACTTGATTCCCCTAGAGTTGAGACGTGTGAAATGTTGCCTACCAGGGAAGCTCATTAGAGGGGCTTTTGTTGGGGTACGCTTTGCTCAGAGGTAACAAAATTCTAGTCTTCCAGAAAAAAGCATAAGCCATATTATTTGCACAAACAGTGTGGACACAGTGAGCCATTCTTATCAGGGAATGTTGGGAACCCTCCCCAAATCCAAATTCCCAGATACCAGCCAAGGGTCAACCTTGTTAGCAGGCCTTTTCTAAGGGATAGCAGTTCTAGGCCTGCCTGTGTTAACTCTTTTTTGCACAATGGTGTTAATCATTGTTATAAAAAATTCAGGGTAAATGTTGCAAAAAATAGATACCAAATATAAGATATAAATGACCTAACTGGTGATTGTTTTCAGTGTGAACTACAGTAATATGTATCTTCAAACCTGTTTTATTAGAAATGTTATTCACCATTGAAAACCAATAGAAACTTTGCAGAGGAGTCAGTTCTACAGCTATTTTGACATTGTTAGCTTCTGTTCTTCAGGGTGAGTTATACATCAGTGAGAATACATACCGAATTATTGTGATAGATTGATAAAGTATACAGACTGTAGGAATTCAACTGAAAATAATCAGTAATATAGGCTATCTGGGAAAATGACTAGTTTAATTAGTGAGAAATTTGGCATATTTTAAAAGAAAGTAAATTTGATTACTTTTAAGTAACTGACTACAAAGTATTAAGTAGACTGGATGGACTTAAGAGACTCATTTGATATTATGTGTTAATGTTCATGTAATAATGAATATTCATGAAATGTTTGAAAATATTATAAAAGTGTCTCATACGATGTGTTTATACTTTTCTTTTGACATACCTTTTCTTCCTAAATAATCTAAAGTTGGCTTAACCCCCACTAATTGATGATGTGATAAATCACCCATAAGTGTTACATTCCTTATTGGCAATATATGATAACAGAACCATGGCTTAATATGAAGGAAAATGTAAATTGTGATAATAGAAGTGAGTCTCTTTTAATTTGCTTTGAGTTGATACTAGAGATGTTTGTCACCTTAAGAAACAAAATTGGTTCCAAATACACTCAATATGTGTTTTAATGTAGATAAAGATGGTTCTTACACTTAAGAAAAATATCTGAGGCTGGGCGCAGTGGCTCACGCCTGTAATCCTAGCTCTCTGGGAGGCCGAGGCTGGCGGATTGTTTGAGCTCAGGAGTTCAAAACCAGCCTGAGCAAGAGTGAGACCCCGTCTGTACTAAAAATAGAAAGAAATTAATTGGACAACTAAAAATATATAGAAAAAACTAGCCGGGAATGGTGGTGCATGCCTGTAGTCCCAGCTACTCGGGAGGCTGAGGCAGTAGGATCGCTTGAGCCCAGGAGTTTGAGGTTGCTGTGAGCTAGGCTGACGCCACGGCACTCTAGCCTGGGCAACACAGTGAGACTCTGTCTCAAAAAAAAAAAAACAAAAGAAAGAAAAATATCTGAGGATCAAAGTAAAAATTATAATGAATACAGCAGAATAATCTTTAGCTAAATATTCAGAAGAAAACCTCAACAGTAATGAAAGAGTTAAAAATTAACATCAACTTTTAAAATGAGTTGATATTATGACCTGAAGAGAAGAGAGGACAAGGATCAGAGATAGTGCCAAGTAAAATTCTAACAGATGTGAAGTTTGTCTTCTGCACACCCAGCTACTCTCCCTTCTCTCCCATACTGAGTACCTCCATGCTATGGATCCTGGCTTCAATTCGAGGTTCCTGCATGCTGCCCTTTGTCTCTGCTGCCCATGCCAGTCAACCTTTTTGTGTCTACACAAAACCCCTGCTTATCCTCTGACTTATTTTTCACTTATTTAATGTATTTCTCACTTCTAGGATTGTTTCTGCACTTCAAGAACACAAGTTGAATCTCTCAGACCTGAAAAACAGTCTGAAACCAGTATCCATCAATACTTGGTAAGAAAATGGTTGAGTACAAGTCCTCCTTTGCCTTCTGTAATACCATTCACTCCTGGTTTTCCTATATCTCTTTTTCTTTCCAGTGTCTTTTTCTTCTTTCTCCTGCTGTTCTCCAAGAATCTATAATTAGCCTCTTCCCTTCTTCCTAAACTGGCTGTCCCTAAAGAGTTTCACCTATTCCTATGGCTTCAGTTGCTAACATTTTAGATTGTCCTGGAGCTACCTCAGGTTTCCTGAGGGGATGCTGGCATCAGGCAGAACCGATGATTCTCAGATTTTAACCTGCAATCCCCAACTCTTTCCTGGACACCAAAAGTGTCTGTAGAATACTTCTGGTTGGGTTTTTCAAAGGCATCTCTACTCAGTTTGAATAAAACCTTGATCTTCTCTCAAACTTCACTAACTGCTTTAGCTAATGAAAACCCATCTACTGTGTCATCCTAACTAGAAGCTTTCTGGTTATCCTCACACTGACTCTACCTCTGCCTGCATATTTATTGTACACCAAGTCTTATGAGTCTTTCTCTGAAATGAGTGTATCTCTGAAATGCCCTTGCATCTGTCCCCTACTTCCCATGAGCACTGCTGGAATTCAAGACTCATTGTCTGTCACCTGGGCTGTTGCAGGGGCCTCATTGCCTCTTGTCTCCTAGACACCCCTATAGTCTTCTCCCACCACTCATATCAGTGGTCAGTACTGCTGCTAATACAGGCCTGCTTGTGTCCCTTTCCAGCTTTAAGACTTCCACTGGCTTCCTAAAGCCTATGGGATAAAGCCCAACTTGCTAGCATGATGTAAGGACTCTTAATGGTGTGGAATTTGTCTGATTATTGAGTTTCATTTCTTGCTACAGAGTGTTAGCACATACTGTCTTCTCTCCTTGAAATACTTTTCTCCCTCTGAAATTTCTCCCAATCCATATAGAATTGGTTCAAATATCACATCTATGAAGGCTTTCCACTTATACTTTTTGTTCCATTATTCTCCCGTATATCATAGACATTACCGTAAAATAGTACTTATGATACTATCGCATGATGATTAGTATCTATGTCTCCCCAGTTATAATGCGATCCCCATAAAAGTAGACATTATGTCTTACTCATCTTTATCTTCTGTAGACAATGCCTGATATATTAAAGGAACATGCTTGGTAATAAATATTTCTCTGGGATCTTTTTCTCCCTTAATCCATATTTTATACTACAGTTTTTACTACAAAATGGAACCTGTCTTGCAGATGCCTTATTTGCTATGAAGTAAGATAATCCCAGTTAATCTTGTTTATAATTTAATGCAGTCCTGTCTTCAGTTGTCTTTATTTTTGTCATTTCACTTTTTCTTCACTAATACCCTAAAGTCTTCTAGTTACTTGCCTTTTAGTACAATAGACTATAGTGTCCAACCTGAATTTTAATTCAAGTAATACCCTTCAGGTTGAGGTTGTGTTGAGGTAGAAAGTAAAGTGACTGTTGTTGACTCCATGCTGTTACTGAGAGAGAGGCCTGTAACTCAGGAAACTTCTGCAGGTGCCACTTGGATCCTTCAAAGCTCCAGGTGGGAGCCATTTTACATTTTAAGGAGCTAAATCTCACATCTCTGTTATTGGAGTTAGACTAAAATTCTGAGTGAGGGAAGCAGAAGCAAATTCTCTCTGAAGTCTTTTGTGGAGGAGTTATGTAATGTAAGTTGACACCAGCTGGAAACTGGTGCCTGGTGATTAGAAGAACCTTTCTGGGCTCTCCCTGAGTCATGCTTAAAAACACCGTCTGTTGTCTTTTGTTTGGGCAACTTGTAGTTCTCCCTTGGCCTGGACCCTATAGAAAGGATTAAATTTTATGGTAAGATGTCATGTTTGGAGGACAGTCTGGTTTTCTAAACGATTTGTATCTGCTATAACTGTGGAAAGCTCTCTATCTGTAGAAAAGCCCATTTTCTATAATTGACCTTTGCAAATGAAAGGCTGTGATGTTTGAGTTGAGATGCTGCTTTTTAAAATAATGCAATTTTAGCATTTCACTGATTTATGTCTAGTCCAATTTTCAACCTATCCAGGGAGAGTTCTCTACAATATCTCTGAGAGTTAATGTAAAAATTTAAATGAAAAGAGCTCCATCATAGAAAATGAAGTACAATGGAAAGGTATGTTTCACCGTAAGTGAAAGTTTGGTAGAATCTCTCCAAAACCACTTCAGTGTGATGTTCACTGGCTTGGTTATTGAACCATGATGTGGGGTCTGTTCCTCAGTCTCTCGGAATCAGAAACTGGATTTAGTCAGCAAACCTAGAGTGGATGCATATTTTAGCCTCAGACCCACATTAACGAAGCAATTAGACTGATTTATAAACCCAGTCTCCCAGTGTCAGAGGAAATGGTGCCCTTACATTGTGTCATCAACCCACTCTTTCTTTATAGTGAAGTTCCATCAGAAACCAAATCATAATTAGAAATAGTGTAATTTATAAGGGAGAACTAATGTCAGGTGTCAGAAGTACCTAAAATTCATATCACAGTATTTTCTTCTGCTGTAAGCAGACATCTGTAGACATCAAATCCTTTCTTTTGCTAGCCTTCCATTTGCTGACCATTCCATCCTCACTTCCAGTTCTTGGGTGTACCTCCCTATACTTCAAGTACTGTCTACAGTGGTCATCCAGCCCCAATTAGAATATGTCAGTGGAGAGAGGATGATATGAGGAGGCAGCTTGTTGCCTGACCCACTGTTGGGTGGCATCAGTTACTGCAGATTTCTTACACTGAACTGAAATATGCTTCCTGTAGCTTCTATCTCCTCAGCTCAGCTCTGCTCTTTGAACAATTGTATTTACCCTTCTACATTAGTCTTCTAGTTACTTGAAAATGGCAGCTATATACTTAATATTACCTTTTCCAGATCAAATATTCCCAGTTCCTTCAGTGTTGCCAGAACCTTCACCAAGATGTTTGGTTTTCTCTAGACCTCACTATTTTGCACTGTTCCTGTTAAATCGTTGTGTCTCAATTATCCATGGTGCTCCAGATACTAACTAATCATTTCAGAATACAGTGAGACTCATCTCGTTCACTCTGCTCATTTTGCTTCTGTAAATGTAACTCGATAGTGTGCTATTATGTAACCATCCTTGTCATGCTATTGACTGAAACCTCAAGGTCATAAACCTGGTATTCTCAATTTTGTATTTAGGCCATTGATTTTTTTTTTTTTTTAACTTAAGTGTAAGATTTTGCATTTATCCCTGTAAAATTTTACTGATCTGGGCTTATTCTTTCAGTTGCTTGAGATGATTCTGAGTCCTGATTTGTTTTTTCAATAATTAGCTATGCCTAGCAATACATAATCCATGCTTTTTTAAAAAACAGGCCATTTGCATTTTCAGGAAGTCATTAAAAATTTAACAGAACAAGGACAAGGACCCTGCCATAATTTTTGCTTTCTAATTCTCTAACTAGTCATCAAATCAAAAAGAGAAGTGAGGTTAGTTTGGGATGATTTACTTCTAGTAAACCTGTATTGTCTTCATGTGATTGCCGTGTTGTTTTCTTAAATGCCCATAATTCATCTGTCTAATAATTTGGTCTTAGACTTTACTGGGCAGCAGCATCAAGCTTGCCCCTTTGTAGTTTTCTCCCTTTTTGAAAATTAGATCAGTGTCTGACCATTTCCATTCTGGTTTCTCATCTGAGTTCTACTATATCTGCAAATTTAATATCCTAAATGTAATTGCCCTTGGCCTGGAGATTTGAACCTATTTAAAACAGCCTATTTGGGGCTTTGAACACTCACTTACAACATCTGTGCCCCTTCTAGTTTAAAGAAGACTATTTCCCTAGTGGAATAGATGGAAGCAAAATAGAGGCTGATTAGCTCTGATTTCAGTAACATTATGCTGTGTTTTCAAGTGGTGAATGGTAAGCCTCGGTTTATATGTCTCTAGCCTTCCTGACAGCTTACAGGTTAAAACCACTTTAAAATTTTAAAAAATTGTTATATTCTCACTCTATATGTGTTCTTTAAATCTGAGTTTATCTGAAGACTCCTGTTGTAAAGAAACTAAATTGATTTATTTAGATTTCTTTTCTCACTGGGATTATTTCCAGTTGTGTAATAGAATTTCTTTTTACAATGTTTCATTCTTCTTGAACAATATTCACCTTTATTCATCCTTAGCCATGGGCTTATAATTATTTTTTTTTTCTGCTCTCTTAAAATTTATAATCCTTTTGTCACTGTTTCTTTTCTTTTTTTTTCAGTTTAAAGGTCCCAATTGGCTTTATTTGCAATTCTAGAATCAGGTAACACTTCATTCCATAAAACAGAATGAATATGTTCCCTTCTGTCACTGTTTTAAACTCCATGTCTTTGTCCTGATTAAAAAGAGTCAAGGACGGGAAAAGTAGTTAGCATAATTCCTAGCACATGGTAATGTCATTTTTCCCCCTTTGTCCTTTTCTCCACCTCGGAGGCAATAACAAGATTCCTGCCACCTGCTGGTGCCTATAAAAGCTCCTAAGTGTCGTTTGGGGTACTAGTGTGCTTTGAGACCCTTGTGACTATCATATGAAGCCAGTGGATTAGGCCTCTTCTTTCTCATGCATGTATGCATGCTATTTTACTACCAGTGTATTCAGGTGCAAACCTAAGACTCTCACTCCAAAGCACCCCATAAGACCTCATTTCAGTACATGCTCATTCACTCAGGAGGTCTATACCCTATTCTCCTATCTCCTTAGGTTTAGTTTTCTTTCTGACTTCCTTTCTGATTCATTCCATATTGTAAAAAAAAACTTCATCAGCAATTTTAATAGGCTGCAGTGTAGAAATTATTCCTTGACTGTCACTGTTAACACCTCCACTAGCAGAGTATGTCCCCTGTATGAGAGATGGACATAGCGGGCAGCCACTTGAAGCAAGAGCGCAAGCTTAGAGTATCCCTCACAGGTCCCTGCAGTCTTACCTCAGTACATTTACCAGCTACCCTAAGGAATTAGCAGCCATTCTTAGAAAATCTTCAAAATTTTACTTGAAATTGCACTGGACAGTATTCCTTGCCATCTGTAAGTCTGCTTTTCCCGCCCTTTCATCTTATATAGGCTGATAGCTTTCTAACTAACATCAGTTAGCAATTGGTAAATTCCTTTTAGATCTTAAAACAGCCCCAGCCATTTTCTGACTAATACACATCTATTCGTTTGAAATACAGTATCAGTATTTTATATTGGGGTGAGGGGCCAAAATGGTTCATACCTATTTTGTCTCTATCTTTTAAAAAAATGCAGGTTGATGAGCCAACCCTTTCCTGGTTGCCTCCATCCACTAGAGCCAGTGAAGTGATATGTTCCACCAATGTTTCTCACTATGAGCTCCAAGTGGAAATAGGTAATAATTCTGGATTTCACATAATTGACCCTTCATTGCTAGAAATGAAATTGATGACAAAGGATTATTTTGTAGGCAACTGTTTTTCTGTTGTCACCTACAGTATAAAAATGTATACAAATTGTGTCAATCAAATGGATTTAATTAATTTTATGTCTGTCTTAAAATAATGGTCCAGATTTTTTCAAGATTACCGTTTAGAGTTTTTACTTTTCTACTGAAGTATAATTAGAGACAGAAGACTCTAAATATTTATTATTTGTGTCTGTATTGTGGGAAGCTTCTAATTTTATGAGTATAATTTATATGGGGTATGAAATAAATCAAATCATGTAAATCTTTTCAGTTATAGTCCTTTAACCAAATTACTTTTTAATTTAAAATTTTACCTAAAATCCCATTTTTAGTAGAAATCTTTTTCAGTTAAGTATGGAACAGGATGGGTTACTATTTATAGCTTTGTATATGTGAAATATTTGCTCTTTGAAACATTTAATATTCAGAAACATCTATTAAACACTACAAACCAGTTACTATATTAGGTGCTAGGGATGCAAAGCCATGTAAAACACCTGAGGAGTTTACATGCTCTCTGGGAAGATGAACACATAAGATAGCTTTGTTTTATGCACCAGAGGGTACTCTAGTAGAGATGAGTGCTAAGTGTTACGGGAACAGAGAAGATGGAACATCTCACCAACCACCTTTGGGAGTCAAGAAAGTTGGCAAAAAGGAGCTAAATCCTGAAGAATGAAGAAAAGTTTCCTCAATATTCTCATCAGAGTTTTTGTTACAAACAACAGAAGACAATCCTGGTTGACTAAAGCAAAAAAAGAATTTTTGAACAATATTGCTAATTCACAGAATTATTGGCTAGAGAAATGAGTTTGGAAGAAACCAAGAGAAGCTGTGACTGGGACCAGAATTGTGGAATAGGAGCAGCCTATTTAGTGTCCTACCTGGCAGGGGCCTTCTGCCACCAGACATGGGACCCACTTCAGGGAGTTCTGACTGCCCCTGCTCCTTTATGTCACTCATTCCATCCTCCAAGTGGCCAAGTTTAGATCACATGCTGGGGTCAAGGAGACCAATGGAGAATAAGGATCCCATCTTTTCTTAAAACAGCACATGGTGACAAATTCTCCAAAATCAGAAAGGAAGTACCAATCCAGAAAGGTGAAAAATGTTTACATCAGTAAATGACTGAGGAAGGATGGTTAGAGGGAGAATGCTATATAGTTCCTCTGTGACTTCAAGTGGGACTAAGGAGAGTAGGCAGTGATAGGAGATAAATCTGGAAAGCTAGGTTTAGAACACATCGTGAAGGACTTCGTATGGTGTATTTGTCTCTGTTGGCCCCCACTCCTTATCTACTTTATTGCTCTAATGATTTAAGGCAGAAGTTTGGGATTTATTATCCTTATGCTAGAGAGGCATTGTGGAATATCCATCAACTTTATGAATGGATAAATAAATTGTGGTATAGCCATATTATGGATTATTGTTTGATGATGGTATTAATAGCATCTAACAGACTTTATGCTGAACATTTAATGTGTATTTTTTTCATTTAACCCTTTACCACTTCCATTTTGCAGATAAGGATACTGAGGCTCTGAGACAGTCATTGAGCTTATGCTTTGAAACCAGATTGTCTTGACTGTAAGGTCTAAGCTTTCAGCTACTGCACTGTGGGACCTTCCTAGTGGATAAAATGCCAAATTTAGAACAACTCTGGCAGCAGTCTGGAAGATATAGTAGATCAGTGATTCACAACCAAAAGTATCACCCTCATTACCTGTGTCTTTTTAAAAACTGCAGTGCCTATATTCCATCATGGAGCTACTAAATCAAAATTTCATAGGAATGGGGCCTATGCATAAGTATTTTGAAGTAGTTCCTTTGGTAATTCTGGTGTGTGCCCTGGTTGAGAATGCAGGGCATAGTGAGGAAGTCACTACATATATCCAGGGAGAGAGGACAGGACTTGAACTAAGACAGTGACACTGACACTGAGGAGGAGAAGGCGAATTTGAGATTAACTTAATTTCAAAGATAAAACTGATAAAATTTGGTGACTATGGAAAGAGGAAAGGTACCTATTAATAGGTGCCACTCTAGAGTAGGTGTTTTACGTTTAAAAAACAATACCAAATGCTGGACAGTATGTCAAGCAACTGCAGCTTTCTTACATTGTTTATGGGAATGCAAAATGGTTCAGCCACTTTTGAAAACAGTTTGGCAGCTTCTTATATGGTTAAACATACCGATACCACATGACCCAGCAATCTCACTCTCAGATATTTGCTAAAGAAAAATGAAAACATATGCCTACTTAAAGACCTATACAGGAATGTTTTTGGAAGCTTTATTTATAGTGGTAAAAAACTGACAACAACCCAAATATCCATGAACTTTATGAATGGATAAATGAATTGTGGTATATACATATTATGGATTATTGTTTGGCAATAGAAATTAGCTACTGATAGATACAACAACATGGATGAATCTCAAAAACATGATGCTAAATAAAAGAAGCTAACCACAAAAGACTATATTCTTTTTGATACCATTTATATGACAAAAATCAGATCAGTGGTTGCCAGGGACTGGGAGTGGGGGTAGGGGATTGCTGAATAGCATTCCATTATTGGAATATGTCACAATTTGTCAAGTCACAATTTTAGTTATTATAATATGTGATGGTATGTTGTTTTAATTTGTATTTCTCTATCTCGAGCATCTTTTCATATGCTTATTAACCATTCCTGTATCTTATTTTGTGGATTGCCTATTTAATCCTCTTCCTTTTTAATTGGATTACTTATTATCTTATTATACAATAATAAGTTCTTTATATATTCTG